TTTTCTCATTCTTTTTTTCTTCTGGCTCTACCATTTCCAAAGACTGGTTCTAATTTGAACTGGTTTGGTAGGATTTTAAAAACAACAACTTTGAGTTTGTTTTCAGTGTAGTTAAAAAAAAATTAATACTTGGGTTGGGTTCAGAATTCAGCCAATTAGTGTGTCCATTTTGGTTTGTGAGTCATGTCATCCTGGCCCACATTACTCACAGTGAGGAATGATTCAAAACCAGTGCTTCTTTTCTTCTAGCCCAGAGTCTAAAAATGCTTCAGGCCTCTTTTGTTCTGAGACATCCTTGTTCTAAGGAATCCTAAAGTTACACTTATAGGGGAAAAAAAAATCATTTTCAGGAAGAGACTGACGTAAGAACCCACTGTCTCTTCATTCTAGTGCTGAAGATGGTCTTTATTTCCCTTTCCTTTGCATGGTATCAGTGTTGGCTGAACACATTTTGAACTCATTGGAAGTTGGTTACCTTAGGAACAGAAGACTTCAGTATTTCTGGTTTGGTCACAAAGGAGCCATGGAGCATCCTCTTCAGAACCTAAGGATATTTCCTTGGGTACCTGGTAGTGGAGGACCATTCAGACATGGACTACCCTTTCTCCCCAGATCTGGGCACAAACTCTGCCATTCAAAATGGAAATACAGTCAATCAGTGGCACATGCAGGGCACTGTGTGGTTTTCTTTGCTTCTTCCCCCATGGCTCCTTTTTCTAGGAGCTTCCCTCCCACTCTCTTGTCTGTGATGTTTTCAAGATGTCAAATATCCTACTAGCATGAACCATGTGGTACTGAATGAAAGCTGAAGACATTGTATGAACTCATGTCTAACTTAATATAGATACAGGTGGATTTATGTCTATGTCTACATCTACATCTATACCTATACAGCTATATCTGTATCATCTACCTACATATAGGTGTAAATATAGATACGTGTGTATACATGGGTTAGTATATACACTTATATTTCCTAGCTCTGTCCACTGAGTGGGCCTAGAAGCAATTAGCACACCCAGTGCCCAGATTTTGTTTTCTAATTTCATTCTCCCATAAAAGGACCAGGGCTTCTTGGAGAAATGGCAGATTCTAGGGCTGGGGAAGGGAATATGCAAAATGAGCCTGGAGCATCTTACAGTGCCAGAAACAAAAGAAGTACTCAAGAAGCAAAGTGAGGGGGTACGTCAGGGGGACACAGGAGCCAACTGGAAAAGCTCCCGATAGACAAAGCCGGAACAATCTGAGCAACAAAATGAATAGTATAGTCTTGGATTATAACCCAAAGTACAAAATAAGTATTCGTAAGTCTATAGTGATATAAATGAATTATTGAATAAATAAATAAATGGGGGAGAACAGACAAACCTGAACAGAAGAATCCCAAATAATGTAGCTACTGCTCCCTCCAGGAGGTAGAACGTAACTCTCTGCCCCGAAGTATGGGACATGCACAGTGACTTCCTTTTAATGAGTACAGTGGAGTACATTCCTTTAATGAGTACTGCCCCGAAGTATGGGACATGCACAGTGACTTCCTTTTAATGAGTACTTCCTTTTAATGAGTACATGCACAGTGACTTCCTTTTAATGAGTACAGTCACTACCTGAGCCAGAAGATCAACGTCAGCAGTGTTAAGTCACCTTGGTGGCATGTACCCTAGTACCCTTGTATCCTTGATAATGCCGTGATGGGAATAGCGCCTTACCTTTGTGATCTTCCAGACAAACCCATAACCCCAGTCTAGCCGTGAGAAAAATATCAGACAAACCCAAATGGAAGGACATTCTACAAAATACCTGCCCAGTACTCTCCTCAACGTTGTCAAGGTCAACAGAAACAAGGAAAGTTTGAGGAAGTGTCACAGTCTAGAGGAGCCTAAAGACACGTAACAACTAAATGTAATGTGGTATTCTCATGGGACCCTGGCACAGAGAAATGACATTGGGTAAAAACTAAGGAAATGTGAATCAAGTATTGACTTTACTCAATTATAATGTATCCATATTATTTCATAAGTTGTGACACATGTACAATATTCATGCTACATTTGGGAAACTGGGCGTGGGATATATGGGAACTCTCTGTAGTATAATTACAACTTTTCCGTAAACCTAAAATTTACAGAAATAAAAAAAAAGTTTCTTTTGAAACCCTCTCTCCCTGCCCCCACCCCACCCACTTTTCTTTCTCTTGACCCTCTCTTAACATAGTGGTCACCGCTCTATGCCCTGGTCGTGCAAGAACTTGTAGTGGCACAAGCAGGCAGCCTTGACGTCTCTCTGAATACAATGTGGCAGCTCTCGCTTGTTGGTATGGAGAGCCGAATACCACCTCTGGTTTCCCGGCACCCTTATTTCTTGACTTATCTAGTCTCTGGGGGCTTATCTGAGGCATTTTTATGGGCTGTAGTGTGGTCTGAGAAATAGCTAGTTTGCAGCCTGGAGGAGTCCTGTGCATCGGTCTTTTGCTGCTGCAGGAGCCAGACTCTGCACTGCTGGGGCAGGGACCCAGTGCCCTCTGGGTGAGGACGGTGGGGTGTTCTGGGGGCTGACACATCTAACTCTGATTGGGCTGACGTCTTCCTGAAGGCAGCCTGGATATCCCTCTTCTGCTCCACCATCTGTCTCTGTATATGTGATATAACCTCTGTCTCCTCTTCTGGACCGTTATTCTAGTCTCCTTTTTCTTTTTAATCTTCGCCTTTAAACACTCTCCTTAGATTTACAGGGATTGATTATATGGCTATATTGATTATATGCCAAGAGGGGCAGAATTTCATGGGGAAGTGGATGGTGAGTTACCACGTGCACCCACGGGACCTGCTCTCCCCATGCAGCCCTGGAGGAGGGATTCAGACTCCCTCCCCACCTACCCGAACACCTGGGTGGCAGGAGCTAGGATTTCTCCAGTGGCCCTGGGGGAAGTAGGTGGGTGGACGGGGGGACAGGGCTGTGCAGCGGGAGGGTGACAAGGCAGGGTTGCTCTCCCCCCTTCCTTCTACCTTTGTCCTCTCCTCCTTCCCCATCCCCAGGCAGGCCCTGCCCTCTGAGAGTAGGGGCCTGGGGAGAGGGGAGGGGAGCCTGGGCCGGGCAGGGGTGTATGGAAGGGAAAAGGAGGAAATTCCTGACCATGACAGGGAGGGTGGGACACTCTGGGGACAGACCAGACGGGGGAGTTCTCTTGTGAGGCAGTCCCCAGGTCAAGCCTGGAAACTGGCTTCTGTCTGTGAGTGGTGAGAAACAGGCAGAGAGGTGCCTAGTGCCTGGAGCAGCAAGGTCTGGAGAAAGCACGCATGGACGTGAGCTAATTGGCTAAGAGCTCAGACATCAGGGTCAGAAGGACTTGCGTTTGAATTCTGGCCCTGATTCTTCCTGTGTGTGACCTTGAGCAAATGACTTTGCTTCTCCATCTTACTCAGCCTGTTTCCTCCCCTGTGAAATCCCTTTCCTCTCTTCTCCATGTCAGTCATGGCCTTCAGCGCTCTCAAAGGATGGCTGTTTTTAATAGATCTCTTTTCAGTCCACTGGTTTGTTTTTCTGTCCTTACTGTAAGCTCAGATCCCAAGAACTGGTTGTTTTCGTTTGTTTTTTAAGACAACAAGTGAACATGAGTGTGTTTTGTCACTGAACCATTTTACGTGTTAAAGCTCATAATGACAGCAGTGTCAGTTAGGTAGATAAACCGGTGTGTCGAGGATACAGATGTTAACATAACTTCTTAATTTGTTGATCACGCTTTTACAGCTGCTAGAAAGACACAGCACAGCGTGTGTCTGGTATGCTCTGTGTTGACTACACCACCAAAGTGATTTCCCAAGACCCAAATCTGATCACGTTCTCACTCATTTAAACATCTCCAATGACCACCATTGCCCAGAAGACCAAGCTCACACTTGGAAGGCAAAACCACGGCTGATGTGACCCAAACATACTCTTCATCACCCGCCTCCCCGACCCTCTCCTTCCTTTCACCAGATCTATGCCCCTGGAGAATGGATTTCAACGCCTCCTGAACACATCCTGCTCTCTCATGTTTCCGAGCCTCTACCCATATGCTTCTTTCTTTGTTTTTCTGGAAGGTTTCTCTGTATTCAAAACCCAGCACAACTGCATCTCTGTAAAACATTCCCCAGTTCCCCTAGGCAGAGCTCTGTGTTCACTCTTCTTACTCATGGGTAGAGAGCTTTACATGCCTGTATCAATGCACTGACAGCGTCTGATGAATATTGGAGGCATCCGTCTACACTACTGGTCTGGGAATGAACTGCCCAAGGTGTGGCCAGTGTTCTCTTTGTCTTTGTATCCCCAGAGCCCAGCACAGTGATTGGCAAATAGTAGGAACTTAAGCAGGTGAATGAATACAGACCCATTTCCATGTACTTTGTATGTGTTATTTTTCCAAGAAAAGCGGTTATTAAGATGGATTCTGGAGTCCACCAGCCCTGAATTCAAATCTCGGTTCTGTCATTTGTGAATGAGTTTAGCCAGATTACTTAATGTCTCAGTTGCTTCAGCTCATAAATGGGAGTAATATTCATCTTATAGGGATGTTGGGAAAATTAAGTATGAAAGTAAGCTACTTAGCAGTGCCAGGCACAAATAATCATCCAGTGAACGATAACTATAATTATTGGACCAGAGTGTCCGTGTTCTCATGACAGAGACCCCTTTATGTGTAGCAGCACGTGGCTATGAGACAAACACCTTGGAACAGAGATGCTATTGGTGCAGGATCAATCCATTTGAGAGTCAGACCATTAACCTTGATCCTGTTGGCACTGTGCCCAGCCTAGTTGTATTTGAAGATCCGAGGGAAAACTCAAATGGCTCAAATGTCTAGAGAAGCAAGAAAACCCATTTAAACCAGGTAGCAGATCAGGGAATTTTACCTCTCGTTACGTTTCATATAGGCAAGTCAGTTGTTTCCTTGCCGCTGGCCTTGGTGACTGTCCTTGGTGATTATTAATAAATGTAATTGTTTGCATTTTCCAAATATGTTGAAATTTCACAAGTCATTTATTTGCAGGACAAACACCAAAGCAAATCAACCCAGTTTTTGGAAAAGCAGCTGATGTAGGCGTAATCCACATCTTCCATTAACATGGAGGATTGGAAATTGAGCACTTTGGTCTTTCTTGTACTTCAACCATTTGCTCTTTACCCAGAACATACATATCCCTGTGTGATACGTATTCTTTTAAATGTTTTATTAGGAAGGCATAGTTTTTCATCAACTGCAGATTTCATCTGTGCTCAGAAAGCATTCAGTGACTGCCCTCAAGGAAAATTAAGAGGCAGCCCAGATACTCGCTAAACCAGCATTCAGGGTGACCTAGTCAAGCGTCTTGAGGCTGCTGCCCTTAACTTAAACAGTTTGCCCCGGCCGCATGGCTCAGGCTGCCAAGGAAATAAACCAGGACCCTCGAGGGTGTTTCGTGCTGGAGTGGCATTTGCAAATCTGGTTTGGGGGGGGGCTCTTGACAAAGGTGATTCCTTCCTGTGCTCCTGCTGTGCTGACTCAGTTCAGTGCAGGAGGGCCACCAGCAGTTTCTGGAAGTCCCCAGAGGTGTCTGAGCGAACCATGTCAGAGAGAGACTTCTGATACTTCTCTTGGAACTTGGCTTTTATCCCCTGAAGGTCCACCTGTAGGAGAGATAACAACAGCAACTGGGACATTTATAGCGTTTTCACCGTAAACATAGGCAGCCACTGTTCTGAGCACGTCATTCTCACTTGCTCATTAATGCCTCAAAGCAGCCCTTAAGAGTCGGAGTTATTATTCTTCCTATTTCGTGGCTGAGAATAGGAAAGCTGAGTTCAGTGTCTGTGTGTCTGTTCCAGTAGAACTTTGTTTATGGACACTAAAACTTGAATTTCATATGATTTTATGTGTTACAAAAATATTATTTTTCCTTTGAGTTATTTACAGTTCCTTTAAAATAATCATTTTCAGGTAACAGGACTGTACAAAAACAGGCGGTGGGCCTGATTCAGCTTGCAGGCCACAGTTTGCTGACTCTTAGTATAAGGTTAAGAAAATTGTCAACACAGTTTGAAATGACGCCTTTTTTTTTTTCTCTTGTACCCTGATCAGCAAGGATATTAGTGCCAAACAACAAAATTCAATTCATTATCAATTTTTAGGACTTATTTTGAATCTACGGTTGACCCTTGAGCAATACAGGAATTAGGAACGCAGACACCCCCCTGCAGTCTAGAATCTGTGTATTGCTATCTCTGCCTCAAAAACAAAGGAATTTGATCAATGACTCACCCAAGGGCAGGAAGCTGAAACAGTTTGGATAGAATCAGGCCTCAAACCCTAGTTCTTTTGATTCTACATATTGTGATCTCTAATGGAGCACAAGCTTCTCCCCACGCTTAGTTAATGTAAGGATCCATAAAATGAAAATACAGGTGCTGTTATTTACTGAAAAACTCTGCATATGGGCGCACCCACACCATTCAAATCCACGTTGTTCAGGGATCAACTGTAACTCATTGAAAAGCTTGAAAAATCTAGGTGCTGGAGGTGGGGAAAGGACTCAGAAGAAACAAATATAAAAAGATAGTTCTGCTCTGAAGATTCTGACCACCTAGTAAAGGAGATAATACTTGCACCATGGAAGATATAATTCCAGAAAGAACACAGTAAGTCTCATAAAAGAAGCACAGAGCTCTCTTTAACCAGGAGTTTTTTGTTTGTTTTTTGTTTTTAGCTTTGTTGTTATCGTTGTTTTTAATTTAGACTCTATCTTGCTTTCTTGAGAGACTCACAAACCATTGCTCAAGCTTCTGGTTCTTTTCTTCTCCTGCCCCAATTAGAGGGCCCAACAGGAGGGAGAAAGGTGAGAGCAGGAGAGGGTAGGAGAGGGAGGAATTGTTGGAAGTGGATGCTGCGCAAGAGAGAGACTGCATCAGGCAGGTGGGCTGTGATCCCTGCTCCCCTGGCTGGTAGGCTGCTCAGCTGGGGGAGGGGCAGGAAGTGGTGGGAGGGGTGGGTCAGTGCAGGGATGGGGTGGGGCTCACGGGGCTCTGTTCTAGTACCTGGTGGCTTTGGGGGATTAGGGGATCTGGCCAATATATCTGGCTGGGCCGGAAGCATTCCGAGGGGATGGTCCCCATGTGGAGATGGCCCAGGACCTGTGGTCAGTACTGAGATAGGACAGAGCATCTTGGAATAAACAGGCTACAGCTCATGCATGCTGGAGTGAATATGGCACCCTGAGGAGCCCTCGGAGTGGTCCAACCCCCTGGGGTCTTTAGAATCCTTGCTGGGCTTTGTCACCAACCTGCTCCTTGGAGTGTCTTAGGATCTCCAGAGACTCTGGCTGGGGGAGGTGAGTTACTAAGAGACAGAGAGACAGAGAAGGCTGAGACCTGGAGAGATAAGGGAAACAGAGAATCAGAGCAACCAAAATAAAACAAAGAGAGTGGCAGAGAGACTGGAGGAGGGAGAGGGAAGGAGGAAAAAGAAAGGGGCTTAAGAGAGAGAGGGAAATATGAATTGTGGAGGAGGGAGGAGAGGAGAAAGAGGGGGAGGAGAAATTCCAGGAATAGAAATAAAAACGAAAGAATAGTTGTGTTGCTAAGTTATATTTCAAAACAGTGTCAGATATTAAGTATTATTTGTCAAAAAGCTGGGGGCCAGAATTTGGGTTGGTATCTTTTCCCCCTCATTTAACACGTTTTTGAGGGAAGATGTCTGTGGTTTTCAAGTGCCCAGTTCCACTTCACTCTCCAAGGCCTCTCTGCTGTGGATGAAATGCCATTTCCCATTTATTCTGCAATTCCTCCTCTCTGTGGCCCTGTATTCTGAATATGAGTCTTGACAGCTGCTCCCAAGCTTCTGGCCACTCCTCTCCCTGTGACTTTGTTGTACTCGTGCATTCTCAAAGGGGGGCGATATTGTTCCCAACGGGGGCAAAAACTGGTTCTTAGAGGGTGAAAAAACATCTTAATCTTCTTATGTAAAATTAATTACGTATGTGCATAGGGAACATAAACAGATTCACACAGTGTATGCCGTGTTAACATTTCTTGGAGGGGAGTGACAGTTAGGAGAAAACTGGGTCTAAGAAGGCTCCCTGGGGGGGGAGGGTGGGCGATCGCTAATTTAAAAAAGGTTGAGAAACATTGTCTTGTACTGATGTGGTTTTTTGTGCAAAATTGTGCTTCTGGGATGTGTTTAAGGAAATAAAGGCCTAGCTCAGGAGTCGGGAAATTACTTGCTCGGGTGATCGAGTCCATTGTTCACCTTTCAGAGTGTCTGTTTTACCTTCCTTAAAATGGAGCTGCCCTATCCGGAACAGCCCCTCCAGGTTCCCTCCACACACTACCCCGAGCTCTCCGGAGCCACAGATGACAGACATAGAAGCTGCTAACGTTACTGCATTTGTATAAAAAGAAACAGACTGAAGCACAGCACACTGTCCTCTACAAAGTCTGGGAAGGCAAGGGCCCTCTCTGTTTTACTCTTTCTGTAAATAGGCTGTTACTAAAAACGACCTGTAGATGACATCAGTGGTGGCAAAACAAGAAGGTGGAGCCCAACGAGTGCGTCTTACCTCCGCCTGGGTCACAATGATGTCAATGAGGGTCTCCTCGTCCGTCCCCGCACCCTTCATGGCCTTGTACAGACAGTCGGCAAAGTAGCCCTCGAGGTCCCGGGCACTCCTCACTGGGCAGGGCAAAGGGAGAGAGAACGTGATGTGTTCATGTTTTGTGGAATAACACAGAGACCCTGGGAAGGAACAGAGCTGGCTCAGAGTGTCACCTGGCTGCCCTTGGAGCTGATGGAATTGTGAGGCCGGTGTTTGAAAGGAGCAGACTTCACACTGTTGATAATGGGATCTGGAAGATTCCCCTGGGGTCAGGGCATCTGGACTCTTCGACCAAAACCCCTTCAGACACCTAAGAACCTCTCCTGTTCCCTGAAGACCCTTGGGAGGAGGCGGAGGGCTGTGACCATCCTCAGGTCCTCCCTGTAAAGTTCATGATTCTCACCAGCAGGAATACCTTCTCATCTCTAAGAGAAATCTCTGATGTCAGAGTTGGGTTTGGAGGGGAAACACGGACTGGCTGGCAACCTTGCCATATAAAACTTCATAATCTTCAAGATACGCTCAGTTGGACCGTGGCCCTCCTCTGCCCATGCTAAACAACCTTCCTTTCTTTTCTTTTTCCTCACTAGGCTTTATTTTTTTATTTTAAAAAAATATTTATTTATTTATGTTGGCTGCCCCGGGTCTTAGTTGCGGCACATGGGACCTTAGTTGAGGCATCATGCGGGATCTAGTTCCCCGAGCAGGGGTGGAGTCCAGGCCCCCTGCACTGGGAGCACAGAGTCTTACCCACTGGACCACAGGGAAGTCCCTCACTGGGTATCATTTGTGAGCCTCATCTCTGAATCTTCTCCAAGGTCCCCACAATCATCTTAGTTCTCCATCTGGGATGTGGGCTTGATGCAATGTTTGATCCTGTCTACAGAGCACCTTCCTCTGATGCTGCTAGTTGCTCTTTTCTGGCCCTGCCCCAGCCAGAAATGAATAAAATATGATCTAATCCGCAGATTAACAAAGTATGGTTTCTATTCACCAATCAGGGGATGGGGTGCATCTCTGCTCCTGGGGATAAATCATGATTGCTCTCCCCTCCTCCAAGGCTCGTATGGGTCCACCAGGACGAACACTTTGGGAGAATGAACCCTTTACTGTTTATGTTGCTGACATTTACCTAGAACACTTAACATTTTTGATGTTAGTGATAAATAATAAGGAATACATTCAGCATAAGTGTGGAATGCACATCCTTAATGTGTCCTGCAGTGAGAACTCTTGTCTTCTAGGTAATTGCCAATAGAATGCTTACCAGGAAGGGGGAGGAACAGAATTAGGAAAGCAGAGTCTAGGCTGTGGGGGTGGGTGGTCTGTCTCCTTATTTTATAGGTCATGTGGCAGCCGCCAGCGTGTCAGTGGAGAAGCCCAGACCCAGGAGTCTGAATCCACAAGCTGCTGGATTGGTGGTGGTGGGGGTGGGGTGGGGGGGTGAACCTGGCAATTTGGGGAGCAGCGTGTTTGAGACTCACTGTGACACACACCCCCCAGACATTCTGAGCTAGTGGCCTCACAAGGTTTTCCCGAGGACCCCGTCCTGTGCGCTCGTACTAACTGACGCTTTAGTGATCGTCTGCCTAACTTCAGTGCGTTCCGTCCCCACACCAGTGACTTCCCCCCCGACACTCCTTCTTCCTGATATTCTGGGGAGAAAACTCTCAACTTTTCTACCACATACAGTCTATGCCTGGTGAACAACCTTTGTTGTTCGCAGCGGCAGGAATACCCCGAAAGTTTGGGTGGGGCCAGCTTGGGAGGATGCGGGAATAAAGATCTTCGTGCGTGTGAGAGGAGGGGCAGCCAGCCAGCCCGCGGTGCCTCTTGCCTCTCCTGGCCTGCAGAGCAGGGGCTCTCAAACTCCAGGGGCCGTAAGATGATCACGGGAGGAGCTTGTCAATGTGTGGCTTTGGGCTGCATTCCAGGAAGTCCTAAGTGGGTAACCTGGAGTGGCCTCCAGAAACTGCACTTTCACACGCCTCCCCACGTGAGTCTGATGCAGGGGGTCCATGGACCCCACTTTGAGAAGTGCTGCTCCGAAGGCTGCAAGCGGTGGGAACCGTTTGGTCTCATAACACCTCCTCAATTTTAGTGGCAAACTGGCATCTTTATGAGTTAGGCGGGAGTAGGGTGGGGAGTGTGTAGAGAATTTAGTCATGAAGTCATGTTCCACTCTGTGTGTGGTTCCTTTTCAAGGTCTTTTCTAATCTCTTTTATATTTGCTACCAGTGGAGTCCACCCAGCTCCTGCATTTCATGGTCCCCCAACTGCAGGGATGGATCCTTTCCTTCCTCTGTACCTGCCTTGCTCTGATTGGTTTTGGTTTTATCTTTACTGTAGCTCAGTCTGTTGATTTGTGTGTATCTGCCATGAGTTTGAAGCTTCTTAAGAACAGGAACTGGACCTATTTACCTCTGATCCCCACGCCTGGCTCAACTGCTGGCCCAGGCAGGTGCTAAGTAAATGTTAAAGGGTTGAATGGTTTTATTACCATTAATACTTAATACTAATAAGAATTAGTATTAATCTTCTGACTGAACTCTGGCGTTCTCCTGCTTCTTTACCCTGCAGGTACAGAAAGGCTTTGGAGCCTTGTAGCTGGGCCATGAGTAGATCTCTCCGTTTACTTAACACACTCATCCTTAAAGCCCTAAGGACAGTCATCTGTGTGTATCCATTGTGCGACGGGAGTGACATTAAGGATGTTCAGGCCTCTATAACAATAGCAGACCTGCTAATCTGAATGCAAAATGAGGGTGGAAAAAAAAAATCAATTGCTGACATTGCCCCCAAAATCCCATCAGAAAAACAAAACAAAAGGGTTTGGCAGCGAGAGCACATTTTGTAGCTTCCAGGGGCTGCTTTTTTGGTTCTTCCTCTTCTTCTGGGGATATTCTCTCCATTTCTCGTGCCATTTGGGTTGCTGCCCTGGCCTCCTCACCACTGGAGTGTGGACAATGGACAATGCCTTCATTCCGGGGCTTGCAAAAATGAGGAAGGAGCCTGCCAGCCACAGCCCGGTACCCTTCTCTCTGCTATTTCCTGCCTACGGGCAACACCTGGAGAGAAATGCCTGGCGTTTGCTTGGCTCGGCCTCGATCTAGTCTCCCCCGCCTTGCTTTCTACACAGACCTCATTCATTCCAGGGTTGAAGGGAACCAAATGGAAAAGGTCACCCTCGGGCCATCAGGCACCCGCAGAAACTTGTTCCTGGATCTGAACCTGGGTGCTTTTGAGTGTGTGTCACATGAAGTGCATGCTGCCCCACGAGACTAGACAATGGTCCCAGGCTGTTGATGGAGGCTCTCGGGGCTCCATGATCTTAGTGGGACTGTCGTGGATGCTGTGGTAGCTCCCCCAGCTGCTGTCTTCAGGACAGCAGGCACTCATGCCAAGTGTTACCTGCTGGCTGCTCAGGGTTGAGTCCCTTCTCAGGAGGGAAGGACTGACTGGGGTCATATCCGTTAGGAGTCAAAAGAGGCAGCTATCTTCCCCAAGGTTGCAGATGCTCCCTGGGTGCAGCCTGACAGCTGCTTGATGTGGGGTGTGAAGACCTGGTCCCCTTGCCTCCACTTTGGACATCCTGACTTCAGGGCTCCTTGGGGGACCAGCACAGCTCCTGTTGCAGCTGCATCACATTCATTCTCTCCCTTCACAATGCTGCTTAGATGTGTGGTTCCCAAGCTATTCCCTGAAAGCTTCCTGCACACAAACCTCTGTCTCCAAGTCTGGTTCCAGGGAGCCCAACCCAAATCAGGGGCTTTCCTAGCTTTACTTTACCGAGAGTTAAGTAGGCCTTCTGCAGATCTCCTGACGTTTCTGCTTCAATGGCCTCTTCGATGTCTTTGCCAATGAGCTGGAGAAAGAAAGTGCAGCTGTTAGTCTAGGTTTTGCTTTTGGCCTTGGTGCACTTGAGGCTTGTTCTTCTACAAAAAGCAATAGACTCTTCCAGATTTGGTCACGCGAGGACCAGAGGAACTCTGGGATTCCTCTCTGGCCTCAGCCCTTGCCCTGCTGGGGATGGTTGCCTGCCATTCGAGTGGGGACTCTCATGGCCTAGGAGTTAGTCCCGATTTGACCCCTGATGGATGTGACCCCAGTCAGGACCACTCCCTCAGCCTCAGTTTCCTCCTCTGTGAAATCAGGGAGTGGAAAAACAATGAATAAATACTGCAACAATATTCTTTATGTTTCTATCGTACTTGAGTTTCCTATGTGTTTATAAAAATTCTTTCCATTTCCAATTTTCCAGGAGGCTATGGTTATAATCATCTCCCACACCTTCCTCCGTTGTGGACTGAGACTGGGAGCTCGGGCACCTACACTTTGGGTGACATGAATAGAGGTTGTGAAGTTCATGGTAAGGACTCGGTCTAATGTTTCTGATACTGTGGGGCTACTTGGGCTGGGAGCCAGGGGCTGACCACGTCAAATGCTGCTTTCTTTCCCTCTGGGGAGACTCCAGATGATCTTATATTCACCACCAGCTTGTTCTGCACAGCATTACACATTAGGTTTCCTTCCAAATATTTATAGAAGCTGAAGTTCAGAGTAAATTGTGACCACGCTTAACACAAGTACCGCCTGGGCCAAGCTCAGGGCAGGCATATAAAGAGAAAGGAGAACTTTTGGTTGGGTTTGGGAAATGCAATTAAGCATTAGAAATACTGAAACTTCTTTCTTAGAAATTATCTCTTGAGGATATGACACAATTGTGAGTCTATAAATAATTGGGACCTTCGAGGACATGCCAGTGGAGTTTATGTAGTTTATTCTGAAAACACTGGTAAACAACATATTCTTTGTGATACGAGCACAATAGATATGGGGGGAAGGAGGATCCAGATTTAATGAAACCCGTAGCTTGGTGTCCTCATCATAGTTGGCCCATCTAGAGGTCTGGTGTGGAATCGACCTAGATAAGAAGGGGATTGGATTGGGGGGGCTTTCAGTCCCTTTCTTAGCTGTTCTGAGGTGTTGGGGGTTGGATGTGGGAGCTGGTATTTCAGAAGAAACTGCTATCACTTTTCCCATGAACAGGGTTCTTGTTGTGTAGACTGAGATTGTGTTTCAAGAGGACATTGTCCTCACACAGGTCTGTGCTTAGTAAAAAAAAAAAATCCTCACATTAAACCACTTTCCATTATTATTGTTCGTACTGGGCTAGAACAGTGTTTTTAAATTTTCTGTAGCATCTCAGCCTACACAACGGATAAAAGCAGGAAAGCAGAGCTGTTCTGGGGAGGCGGGAGATGGGTTCCTTACCGCAGCCCTAGATGGTAATGCCAGGTTCCTGGCCTCTCAGTCTCTTTGCTGCCCAACTCCGGGGGCACTATTCATGAGATACAGTGAGACGGCATTGCCCTTTCTTCTCTACCTACCTCCTCCCCCCCATTCCCTCCTGGTAGCTACCAAGCCACCTCCAGGGACTCCATTGAACACAAATGGAAAACAATCCACTGGCCCAAGCTACTGAGATGCTCCTTTGCAGATGGAATGCTTCTCACTTATCGGAACACTTAATTCTTAGGGGGCTCTTTGGACAAAACCAGGTTTTCTGATCTCAGTACAAAAACCCATTGCCAGGGTGGATTCCAGACAAGCCTCAAAGGCTTCTAGTTTACCAGGTAGCATTGCCTGTGGGGAGATTATTAGAAGAATAGGAGACACGTTTCTTTCTTTTAAAACCAATGCCTCAAACTGACAGCGCGCCCACGGCAGAGCCCTGTGTACTCTGACTTTGGTTATAGCAGTTAAAGGGCTAAAGGTTCTGGAATGGGCGTAGGAACACTTTAGGGAAGGGGAGAACTTTATGGTGAGAGGTGTGGTGGTGAGGCAGTGACCTGGGGCTATGGGTATGTGTACCTACAATTTATACTGAGCCATGTTTTGGGAACTTTATAACTCTACAAGCCTTTCCTATTTGGTAGATTTGGGGACGGTGATAATCTTTCATGATGCTGCAGGGTTGGGGAAGCTTTGTTGCTTGGGCTGGGATCTCTGAGAGTGTCAACAGTTAAGACTCAGGTTTAGAAGGCAGATTAAGGGCAAAAACCTGAGTTTTTGCGCCAAAAATTAAAATTCGACTCTATGCCAGGACAACCTATGCCGTATGACACACTTCACTGATCTGACCCTAGCATCTTAGTGCTTTTAGCCAGAGACCATGAGAAAATTTATGGAACCAGGTTCCCAAGATCAGGATGAACTCAGAAGATCAATGATAAAGATCAAGATGAACAATGTTCCAACAAGGCTTTCGGAATGATGAATAGGTAGCATTTTAGAGCTGGTTTCATGTAAAGAATTATCAGATCAATTGATTCTCTTACTGACCATTTGAGTTTTAGCTCTGTTTTTTGACACTGTCGGTTCACATAAGGCGACTCATAACAACTGCTAATGTTAATTGAGCACCTACTTCATGCCAGGCAATAAATGCTTTAAATCTGTTAATTCATTTAATCCTTACTAACCCTGTGAAGTAGGTACTATTATTATCCCTATTATACGGTTGGGGGAACTGAGGCACAGAACCCTTAATAAGTTGCCCAGGGTCATACAGCTAGTAGCCTAGAGCAGACTTGTTAAACCTTAACATGTATCAGAATCTGGAAGATTTGTTAAAACACAGACTATAGGACCCTAACTCCAAGGAAGCTGATTCAGTAGGTCCAGGGCCGGCACTAAGAATTCTCATTTTAAACATTGTGTCAAGTGATACGGATTCTGCTGTTTGGGGATTAATTTTGAGAACAATCGGCCTAGGGAGTATCCTTAGATAGTCAGTAGCTCATGTACACACACACACACACACACACCCTCACACATATGTGTGTTTCTATAGTGATCTCCAATGACAGCCACCCCAGAAACTCCATCCATGGCCCCAGTCTTATGGGAAGAGGGTCTAGGTCATGGAGAAGGCTTCCAGCTCAGTCTACACAGCTCCAGGCCCAGGGGCCAGGGGAGTACAGGGTCAGCTGCCTTTGATCACGGCTCTGGGCAGAATTTGAAAGCAGAGGGCCCTAAGGGCTTATATAGAGTGATGATAAAATTCCAAAGCTTTGTTGTCTTTTCATCTGCTGGCAACACATAGGAAATGCTATTTTGAGTGAGGAGCGGCCAGCTCTAGCTGAGGTAGGAGCTCAGGCTGGGGAATCTTGGAATTCTCATCCACTTTCTGCTACTGACTTGCTGTGTGGTCCTGATAAGTTACAGATGGTTCCTTACTTGTAACAGATTTTCCTCCACCAGCAGTTATGGGTAACAATGGCTCTTCAGCTTACTTTTGAGTTACAGTATTCTTGTGAAATTGAAATGAGACACAGGGTACAGATGTCCTTTAAAACCATTCCACAAATATAAAATAGGAGACCAAAACAAAATCTGATATTCCACAAAGGTCTTCTTGCAATTAAAGACTGATTTTCAGGGAAAGATTAACCACTAAGTGCCTTGAAATAGCTAACTCACCTCGTTGACTTAAAATTATCATTAGATTAAAAAAAATAATTGTATAAAAGTAACTGATACACATCTTTCCAAGAGTGTATCTCTGAGGTATTATCACATCTGTTTTGGGAGCAGTAGGCACTGTTAGCCCAACTGTCAATTGGAATAATAGTAACAGCAAACATAAGTAAGCTTACCACATGCCAGATACTGTCCTGAGCCTTTTATATTCATCTTATTTAACACCTAAAATAACCCCGTGAGGGTGGGGTGTTGATGTTCATGGTCCCTGTTTTACAAATGAGGATGGTGACATCAGGTCACTTGTTAGTGATAGAACCGGGACTTGAACCTGTACCCTGTGACTCTAGGGCTTTGCTCCTAAACTTGACACTCCCCTGCTTCCCTAGCCTCTGTTGCAAAGCAGGGTTTCCCAGACTCAGCAGTGCTCTGGGGGCCGAATGACTGTTTGTTGTGGGAGGTGCCCTGTGCACTGTGTGCTGTTCAGCAGCATCCCTGGCCTTGACGCTCTAGATGCCAGTAGTGCCGCTTGCCCCAGCGCACCTTGTTGTGACAACCCCACATGTTTCCAGACATTATCAAATATCCCTTGGGGGGTTCAAAATCACCCCGATTGAGAACCACTATTGTAAAAGACACCCCACCCCCTGCCGCCCAGTTCCACATCCCAGAACTCGGCTTCTTTGGGAAATAACTTGAGACTCAGTTTCCGTGCGAACTCCTTGCCTTAGTACTGGATCACTTACAACTTGGTAGGCTTGAAAGGTGGCTCGTAACTGTTTGTGATTCCTCTTGGCCAGGACTTCATTGAAGGTAAGCTCGTCCGTGCCCCAGCGGCCTTCCCCTGCCTAGAGGGCCGGGTGCAAACATTTTGAAAAAGCCTTTTGCAAAAAGACTGAATAAACAGAGCTGTGACCAGGCCTCCCTTACAGGAAACAATAAAATATGCACTGAATCTAAGCCACATTGATCGATCTGGCACTTTAAACTTCTAACCCACAAGTACACCTCACATATTTATATTATTTATACCTTCCCTTGTTCCAAAATGGATCTAAGGTGGTTAACCCCAGAATATAAGAATAGAAAAAGCAATTCTTTCAGGTTCATGAAGACCGTATATATGAAAAATATTTTAAAGATCATACTTATTTCCCAGGTAATTCCAATTCACATAAAATAAAGTAACAGTTGTTGAAAATAATGTTAATTAAAAAAAAAAAAGGATTTGCAGAGACTGGCACATCTGCATACTTACATCGTACAGATCTTTGGCATCCTGACCAGCTAGATCTTTGTCTACATTATCTCCTTCATCGCGATTAGCCTAGAAAAATCAACACATTGTTATTAACTTGAGTTCCTGCTTGGCCACAGAAAACAAAAAGGGAAAGTCCTAGAAAAGGGGGTGATTTCAGAGGGGTGGCCTGAAGCGAGACAAAACCTGGCAAAGTGGCAATGCTGCTCTTTGCTGCCATCTTTTGGGCACAACTGATAAACAGAGTAGCTTCTGTGACAACACATTTTTCCTTTTATTTTGTAGAAACCAGGGTCACTCACAAACCCCACTGACCTCTAAGAAACCTCATGATGTCCCCTAGAATGAGTCTGTTGGGAAGCTATTAGTCTTCCTTCCAAAATATCAAATTTCACTTCTCAGGATCCCAGCCCTGAAGAGCCCTGAATGTTGGTCATGGAAAGTTTTGGAGGTCTAACCTAAGCCCTTAGTGGAATTCTAAGATGACCCAGGTGGCCCACACTCTTGTATAATCCCCTTCTTTTGAGTGTGGGTAAGACCTGTGAATATGGTGAGATACCACTCCTGTGATCATATTATGTTTATATGGCAAAGGGGATGTTTATAGATGTAATTAAAATCCCTAATCAGTTATCCTGGGTAGGTCTGACCCAATCAGGTGAGCTCGTTAAGGTCAGAGATGGAAGAAGTCAGAGACATGAACTCAGGCTGGCCTGGAAGAAACCAAATAGCCATGCTCTGAACTGTCTGTGGGGCTACGACAGGGAACTGCAGATGGCCTCTAGGAGCTGAGTGGTCTCTGGTTGACAGCTAGCAGGAACACAGGGACATCAGTCGTACAACCACAGGGAACCGAAATCTACCAACAGCCAGTGAGCTTGGAAGAGGACCCCAGGCCTCAGATGAGATGGCAGCCCTGGCCAACACCTTGATTTCAGCCTGGCGAGACCCTGGCTAACCCGCAACAGGACCCCTGCCCCATGGAAACCGCTAGATCATGGGTCTGCATAGTTTAGGTTGCTGACTTTGCAGCAATTTGTTATACAGCAGGAGAACACTTATATACTCTTCGTGCTATGGGTGAAGCCTACTCTGTGTATTCTCTGCTATCAGTCTCTCCACATCGAGAGTAATGAAGCAGAGAAACACACAAAGCTCATAAAGGTGGGTGCGTCAATGAGAGTGCAGATGCCATCTGGCTGGGGGCCGCGGGGGCTGTGTCCTAGCAGGGCCAATTCTTAAAGCCCTGCTTTCCAGGCCAAGCTCCCTGCAGCAGTTCTTACAGGCCTAGACTTCGGGTGAATCCTGGAAGTAAGTTGTGTCATGAAAAGGGCCCTACTTGGGGTCAGATGGGCTGGTTCTTGCTCCTAAGCTGTGTCTTACTGTGTGTACACCTAGAGGTTCCTCACTGGCAAAGTGAGGTGGTGATGCTTAATGAGATAACTCACTAACAAAAAGGGATTGTAAACTGCAAATGACTAGGTGGATTGCTATGATGGGAAAAATGCCCATTGAATAATTTCACATGAGCTGGGCTGACAGAACACAGGTTGATGATCCCTCAGTAACATTTTTAATAAAAGAAGGAAATGTTTATCATCGAAATTGCCTTTTTCACCATGGTCCCATGCTGCCAAGGGCTGTTTCCCAAGATCATAAGGCAGGTTAGACCTTTTTACTTTTACCTGTAGCAGGGAGACCAGGATTTTTTTTAGGCTTCCACTTGTGTCACCTTTGACATCTGATTCAAGGCTCCTGTCAAATACTTTTGGGGAAGAAGAAAGGAGGAGAGAAAGCAGATTTAGTCTCCCAGAGGTATTTTGGAAGGAACATTCTTTAAAGTCAGAACAAACGGTCACTTACATCTTTGGTAGGCCTCTTTAATGGCGATGATTTCCTAGGAGAGGTAATAAAAAAAATCAATACTCCAAGGTGGGGTTAATCAATAATATAGGCAGAGACAAGCAAAGGGAAGAGGCAGGAGCTTGTCTCTGGGCACAGGATGCCTTTGTGACTTCCTCCAAAGGGGGTTGTCCCTACAGGTCAAGGTCTAGGCCTAGAGCAAGTCCCCAGCTGTGTGGAGTCCTTTAGCATATGTCATCCTTAGTTAAAAGTGAAAACATTACAGCTAAGCTAACATCTTCTTTCACTACCCCCTCACCCCATCTCACTCTCCCTTCCCCACCCAGGTAGCCAGTGTTAGAAGTTCAGTGCATATTTTCTCTTTACGTTTGTATACATATGTTTGTGCTACTGCAAATATATAGAACTGTTTTGTGTATGTGTTTAAAAAGTGGAATACTGTTCTGTTTGTTCTTTGACTTATTTTTTCACTCAGTAATAGGTTTTGGAGGTCCAGCTAGGCTTGTACGTTAGTTAGTCACCTAGTGTTTTTCTTAAATGGATACAAAAGGTTCCATCCTACAGTAAGCCCCTGTTTGTTTAGCCAGCCTCTGATTGATGGACATTTAGGCTGTGTTCAATTTTTCTCTACTTCAAACAAGGCTGCACTCAGTAAACAATTTGCTGTGTACAGGAGTGCAAGCCTCTTTCCAGGGTGTGTGCCAGGAAGAACTGCTTTACAGGCACACCTTGGAGATACTGTGGGTATGGTTCCAGACCACCCCTATAAAATGAGTATCATAATAAAGCGAGTCACACGAATCTTTCGGTTTCCCAGTACACACAAAAGTTATGATTATACTCTACTGTGGTCTGTTAAGTGTGAGATAGCATTATATCTAAAAAAGCAATGCACATAACTTAATTTAAAAATAGTTTATTGCGGGCTTCCCTGGTGGCGCAGTGGTTGAGAGTCCGCCTGCCGATGCAGGGGACACGGGTTCGTGCCCCGGTCCAGCAGGATCCCACATGCCACACAGTGGCTGGGCCCGTGAGCCATGGCCGCTAAGCCTGCGCATCCGGAGCCTGTGCTCCGCAACGGGAGAGGCCACAACAGTGAGAGGCCCGTGTACCGCAAAAAAAAAAAAACAAAAAAAAAACTTTATTGCTAAAAATTCTAACCATCACCTGAGCCTTCAGCAAGTCGTCATCTTTCTGCCAGTGGAGGGTCTGAAATATTGTGAGAAATACCAAAATATGACACAGAGACAGGAAGTGAGCAAATGCTTTTGGAGAAATGGTGCTGATAGGCTTGCTTGTTGAAGGGTTGCCACAAACATGCTATTTGCAAAATCGCGGTAAAACGAAGCGCAATGAAACAGAGTATGGCTGTATATTGCAATGGCTTGACCCACTTGGGAGCTGCCTCCGTTTACACTTGAACCAGCAGCGTATAAGAGCAGGCATTTCCCTACAGCATCGCTCATAAACTGTTTAAAATGAAAGTCATGGGGCAGTGATGGGGAGAAGGGAGAGGGAGTGATAGAAGATGAGGGCCAGGCAGATGTTGCTTCAGTGGGTGGGAGAGAGGAGGAAGCAGGTGGGGGCCGAACACCTGTGACTCTGCAGCCCCCTCCCCTTTCTCCTCCTTCCAGCCCACTCTCAGGATCTGCCTGAACCCAGGGCCTGCTCTCTCCCTGCTTTTCTTCTTTTTACTGTCAGATCTATTTGATTGAAAAAAAAAAAAAAAGAACCTGTTCATTGTTTGAGACCAGGACCTGAAAGAAATTAGGCTGAGGGTGAACCACGTGTAGGCAAGTGTGATTAGAAAAGTAACGACCAAATTAACCTTCTTGCCAAGGCAGGCTGCCCAAATATTGGCTGCCTGGTCGCTAGGACTTTGGTGCTTCTGGAAAGGATGGGAATATTGAGTAAGGAGAGTTGTGTGGTTGTTGGACTGAATTGATACCGCCCTCCTGTGCTAACCTTCCCTTAAGGCACAATCCTAACCTGAAACTCCCCAAATGGAGGGGTTTTATTATCCTTTGGGAAGAAGAGAAGTCCAGAGATGTTCAGGAAAGGGGTTTGCAGCTGTAGCGTGGAGCCTGGTGGTGCTTCAGGAGACGTGGGTGGACGGCACAGGCTGGGCAGCAGGAACCAGCCCAGGTGGTAGGCACTCGGGGGCTCAAACGGCACTGCAGTGTCAGAGCGCTGGGGCATCTTTCCTCGCCATCTGCTCCAAGTGCTGTTTCTGCTTCCTACCCGGAGGCCTCAAGAGTGTTGGATTTTCCTGGCATTTCCTCGCTGGACCTCCCCATTCTATGTGATGGGTGTTGTGGAAGAGGCAGGGGTTCCCCAGATAATGCCCTGTGGGCCCTCTCTTCTGATGAAGTCCTTGGCCCTTATGGGTTTTGGAACCAAAGATGAATGGGCTTCTGCGAGGGCCTTAACGAACGTCCTTTGCAGCTCCTGAGATGGTGGCATGTGCCCAAGGGACCAGGGGAGGACAGGATAGAGGACATGGAAACCTCTGGGGAAGTGGTGATGGCCCCGGGGGTGTTCACTGGGACCCCCCTGGCACCCCCCCACCCCCCTGCCTTTCCTTGTGCTCTCTGCTAGATGCAGCCATGCTTGGACTGTTGTATTATTTGTGCCAGGAGACCCGCAAAGTCAGGCTGGGAGGGTAAAGTAGAACTTTCCTCCTTCATGTAAAACTGTGCATCTCTTGAGAAAAATGAAAGCTGGATTGACACTGTGCTTCTGGAAGGATCTATCCTGTCAAGCCAGGAGCAGCGACACCAAGAATGACCATCAGAAGATTGGAAGAGGGATCTCTCCAGTGTGAACCAAGTGGACGCGTTTCTGCCCAGACACTTGCTCACCCTGTGGGTGGAATGCAGGGAGGACTTTCCCTTCTGGCTGCTGTAGCCATCTCTGGTGGGCATATGGACGCTCCCTTGGGAGTTGGTCCAGGGCTCGGCTGGGACTCACCTTATTGGTTTTCGTGCACAGGACCTCGATGAGCACCGCCTCATTCGTGCCCAGGCCCTTCATGGCCTTCTGCAGCTGCCGGGCGGCATACTCGCTGGGGTGTTCCAGAAGGGCCAAGGCTGTCTTCTCGAAGTATCCACTCAGCTCCTTCTTGAGCACCTCCTCCAGGTCCTGTGGGAAGACAGCGAGAGTCTTGTCTGGGAACGTGCTGAGAGCAGAGGGACAGGTGTCTGCTCTCCCCACCGCAGGACACCTGCTGTGGACACACGGGGCACAGTCTAGACTGGAGCTCTACAGGCATGAGTGACCTGGAGGACAGTCGTCTCCCAAGTGCCCATCCATCTGCTGCCAAGGCTGGCAGAGAGGCAGAGGGAAGATCCCCTGCTCAGGGCTGGGGACCCCAAAGATGAATCAAAGTAACAACCAGCATTTGCCGAATATTTTGGGGTTCAGAGAGCTTCCTCACTGATCCCTAAAACAGCCCTGGTAGGAGAGGTATTGCATTATCCCCATGGACTGAACCTCAATAAGATAAAGGACTCATCTCCAAATACTTGGCTAGAGAAGACTGAAATACAGGTTTGTCATCTCTAGGAGACCAGATCATTCATTGTCCAAGTTGAGATGCTTTTGACAGTGAAAGGGGGGGCACTATTAATAATTGCAGGGGGACAACAGGAATTAACGAGGGACTGTCCTGGGCAAACCTGATATACAGTCACTTTGGCATTTTGTTAAATTCTGAAAGGGACACACGTGGGAAAGAACTCAGGTGGGGGAAGGGAAGTGCATGAAATTCTCACTGGCACCCTGTTTGGGGCAAGCCCCTCCAATCACAGGTGAACCGCCTGCTCCTACTGTCTCCCTCCGACCTGATGGTTTAATGAGAAAAGCGTCAAGAATGGGCATTCAGTCCAACTAGAGTCATCAATGTCCCAAGTTAAATGCAGGACCTCAGAGCAGGACCTTCACACAGAGACAGCCCCGTGTGGGTCAGACTGGAAGCCGATAGACCAAATTACAGCATGGGGTGGGCCTGGCTACTCAGCACCATGGCATGATGTCTAACAACACAGTCACGAAGCTCTGCGACCTGGGAAATGTGCTTAATTTCACCAACTGTCAGTTTCCTTCTCTGAAAAATGGGAAGAATAATAAGACTTACTTCTTAAGGTTGTTGGGAGAATTAAATAAGACAGTCCTTGTAAACACTGAACACAGTCCCCGGCACATTTTCAATGTTCAATAAGTGATGATGATGATTATTTCATGTTGAAAGGAACTTTCAGAGAGAAGGCAAATCAACTATTTCTCAAATGAACCTCTGAGCTCCGGACCTGGGAGGAAAATCCCAGAAGATTTTTGTCCAAGGTCCTGGGATCTGCAGTCTTAATAGCAGGTTGTGATGTTACTGGCTCCATCCCATGGCAGTTGCTGCATCTAACCTGATCTTGTGAAGACAGGCCTTTGGTCAGTACTCTGGTGTGGATCAACCTGAAGACTGGAAATATTTTTCCAAGTCAGATGGGCATTATATAGAACCGTAGAGAAGAGAAATCCCAGCTGGCTGCTCTCGTACGTCACAAGGTTGAAAACAAATCCTTGTGTGTTTACATTCTGTTTGGACCTAGGAGCCAGCTCAGGATTCTTCGGCTCGAATCCTGGTTTCCTGCTAACTAGCTGTGTCACCTTGGGATACTTATTCTCTTTGGAGCTCAGCTGACTTTAGATTTGATTGTCTCTAATGTCTTCTAGCTTTGTGATATGATTCTCGATCACCTCTTTGGCAGTTCCAGCTGTTTGAAACACAGCTGAGAATTGGAAAGTAAGCAAATGATTGGCAGATGTAGGTGTTGCAGAGTTTTGTGCAACAGAGCCCCTGAGTCCTCACTTTGAACCCATTTACACTTATTTTACACCAAAGCTCAAGATGCCTGTATCTGACTTTCCATATCGGTAGGATATAAGTAGACACAGCACTTGAGAGGATGCTATAGTCAGGCGCGCTGACAAGGATGAAAGTTCAATGTCATTCAATTCAATTAAATGCAGCTGAACTGAAGCTGCACTTATTTTCACCAAGGTCATCAATGAGTGACATCGACAAGCCTGATTGTGAAGAGGGAAGCAGAAGAACTACAAAAGCACAGCTGTCTGGACTGTTTAATGTATAAATAAACAGCTTCTCTCATGGCAATGGATTCTTCAGGAGTGGAGGCTGGCCCTGGAGATGGAAGACTTAGATTTGAATGCTGGTTCTTTTTCCTACTAAGTGTGTGGTTTTGCATGAGTCATTTAAACAGATGCGCTCCACTTTTTCTCTCTGTAAGGTGGAGACAATCACACCTATCACAGCCTCCCTTTACTGGTAGGTGCCAGCATTACCCTGCTTGATTCTCACAGCAGCCTGAGAAGGGAGGCAAATTACCATTTTCATTTTGTGAGGAGACCAAGGCCTAGAGAGATTGTTGCTTCCCCAGTGACAAATAAGTAAGAAACTCCACCTCTATCTCTATATCTATTTATACATAGAGTTACTGAAACTGTAAAGGAAGTATAAATTTGGATTAGAATGCTGCATAATAATTCGTATTTATTTGGCAAACTGATAATTCTAATGACATTAAGAAAATGTTAAATCGTGTTCATGCTATATTAATAAAGAGAACAGAAAGCCTAATGCATTCTTAAAGATTTCTAAATGTAACACCATCAACAAGAAGAATGAAAGAAAAGATACGCAAAGAAAGAAAAAGGTGTTGATGCTTAACGAAATGGAGGGTTTTTTGGTTTTGGTTTTTGGTTTTTTAGTTTTTGTAACAATCACTTATGAAGAATATATCATTCTTGAAGACACCTGAATAAATGAAGAATTCTTACATAAAGACCCACCTGTGAAAACTGGTTTTCAAATCCCTGGCCTATCTATAAGTTAATATGTGGAATTAATCCAAATGAGTGGGGAAAAAAGACTGAGGAATCAACTTAAAAAGAAGTCAATTGGAAAAATAATGAGTTAACCAGTATTGATTTTACAGGCTGTTAACAAGGCCATTTCAGTTTTTCTGAAGTCAATTAAAGTTTTAAATGGTTGTTTCATTTTGTTTCTCTTGGGCTAATTCAATAAAGCTTTAAGGATAGTCCTCACTGTCTTGGGAACGTAAAAGAAGCAGAAGAGACAGTCAAGACCAAGGCCGTGCGCGCACGGCCGAGGACCCTCGGCGTCACCTTGCCATACGTTGTCTTGTACTTTTGTTTTATTTGTTGCCTCTCATTCGATGTCCTGCTTGATAGGATTTGAATGATGGTGGCTTCATCAGTTCCTGAAGTGCAGGAGAAAGAGGCAAAATCACAATGAGCAAGAAACAAGATGGACGTTTATTTTAGTCAATCTGGGGAAGCCAGGGTGGTGGTCACAGGCTTTGGTGGAACCTAGGTGGACCCTTTGGCTTTAATATCTTATGCTGAGAACTGTATTCTTTTCACTCACTTGACAAATATCCACTGAGGCCTCACACTGCCTGAAGCACAACGCTAGGCATTGTAGCGGAAAGAGGAACGAATATGGTCTATTCCTTAATTTCACTCCTTGGCATAAATGCAAGAGAAATGAAAACTTATGTCTACACAAAACTTGTATTCAGATGTTCATAGCAGCATCATTCATAATAGTCAAAATGTGCAAACCACCTGAATGTCCATCAGTGGACAGTGGATAATTAAAAGGTACTATATCCATACAGTGGAACGTTACTTGGCCAGAAAAAGGAATGAAGTACTGACACATTCTACAGTATGAATGGGATGGACCTTAAACACATTTTGCTAAGTGAAAGAAGCCAATCGCAGAAGACCTCATATTATGATTCCATTCATATGGAAGTCCGGAATAGGGAAATCTATAGAGACAGAAAGTAGAATAGTGGCTGGGGAGGGGTGGGCAGAGGTGTGATAGCTAAAGTGTAGGAGGTTTCTTTTTAAAGTGATGAAAATGTTCTAAATTGTGGTGATGGTTTCATAGTTCTGTGAATACATTAAAAACAACTGAATTGAACACTTTAAATGGGTGAATTGTATGGTGTGTGACTTATACCTCCAAAAAACTGTAAAAAAAAAAAAATATGGTATGTTCCTTGGTCTGCAGGTACTTAAAATGGAGTGGAAGAGATTAAGATATAGACCCAGGGCTTCCCTGGTGGCGCAGTGGTTGAGAGCCCGCCTGCCGATGCAGGGGACACGGGTTCGTGCCCTGGTCCGGGAAGATCGCACATGCCGCAGAGTGGCTGGGCCCATGAGCCATGGCCGCTGAGCCTGCGCGTCCGGAGCCTGTGCTCCGCAACGGGAGGGGCTGCAACAGTGAGAGGCCCGCGTACCGCAAAAAAAAAAAAAGATATAGACCCAAGTTGCTATAGTATCAAGCCCAACCATAAACTTGTTAATCTCAGGAGAGAAGTCCTAATTGGGAGCATGTGGGGCAGTTCCCCTTTAAACTCTTTTGAATCACACTCTTCCTAAAACGATTTTTTCCCTGATGTTCATAGTAATACTTGTTCATTATAGGTATTTGATCAGCACTGAAATGATAATGACTAAGAAAGAAGGGGAGCGTATCATTTTTTGAACCTGGAGACAGGATTGGAAAGATGACCCAGGTGTTGCAGGTGTGAGGGTGAGAAAGACTATTTGATCAGCGAACCCTGAATTCAATTTCTTCGGACTGGATTCAAATCCCTTAAACCCTATGACATCAGGCAAATAATTAGCCTCACCAAGCCTCAGTTTTCCCACCTATAAGATGGGGGTGATAATAGACAAGGCTATTGTGAGAATGAAATCCAAGTAGGGGTCCACGGTTGCCCTGAGGTGCACATGGGTACTGGGACACCGGGGAGCATACATGACCAAGTGCCCCAGGGCTGCCTCAGATCCAGGCAAGACTTGTGCTGAGGCCACTGTCCCTGGGTTGTCACCCCAGTGACTGAGCTGGAAGGAGCATCAGAAGCCTTCTGGCTCAAACTCGTATTTACAGAGGAGGAAACTGAGGCACAGCTCAGACCCTCTTCTTAGTTCCCGCATGTACATTACTGTTCGGCAGTATTGGAATTTGTCGACTGTTCTCTGCTTGAGTGCTTTGCCTCTGTCCTCCGTTCCTTCCTTCAGCCCCTCGACCATCTCCCTCTCAGCCTCCTCCATCAGCCCTTCTTCTACCTGCCCTCTACACTCAGCTGCCAGGTCTCCTTGCTAATTGCCATCACTCCCCCCCACCCCAACCCGTGACCATTGCCCTTTGGCTGATGAATCCTAAACTAGCACCTCCAGCCCTTACCCTTCCTGAGTTTAGATCTTATTTCCAGCTGCCTGTGGCCAGCTTCCCATGGAGATCCCAAGGCCTTTCAATTCCCCACGGAGCTAAGGCAGAGCTCATCCCGTCTATCCTTGAATCCACTCCCCACCCCGTTAATTTCATCTCAGTGTGTGGCATCATCTGAATTAGAAAATCCAAAGTCACTTTTGAGGGCCCACCTTCCGTTTCTTTTATTTTCCGACACCGCCACGCCCATCTGTCTCAGCTATGAGATGACTCCGCCCTCTTCATTCCCCCTGCCCCTGCGTAACAGGCCTGCTGGTTTTCATCCTCCCTGACACCAGGCTCTGGTCTCTGCAGCCTGCCTTCCACACTGCCGTCAGAATCATCATCTGGAAGTACGCGTGTGCTCATTTCACTCCCTAATTTTAAAACCTCTAGTGATGCTTCATGATTTCCAGAACTAAATCATTGTTCCTTAGTGTGACATTGAGACTTCCTGAAGCACGGTCTCAAACTGCTCTTCTAGACCCATCTCTGCACACAAATGCACCCAGCCTCACTCACCTCACCAGAGCCACATTTGTCGGTAGGTCAGGCACTTTCAGAAATCCTGAAACATTACGTTTCTGCTCCCGCCGTTCCTCTAAAGAGCATTGCTTATATATCTCTAGAGTCACTGCATGTTAGGTAAGCTTTCATCAGATTATATATATATAATATATACATAAGATTGCATGTATGTGACATTCTAAGCTTGGTACCTAGGCCATAGGGAGTGGTCACTGAAAGGTAGTGTGTACTATTAGGTGCCACGTACTGCCGTCTTCCTTGGGTGAGTGGGGCTGTTGGGTGGGTCTTGCCTGTCAGATCTGCTCTTCTAGGGTGTGGTACTATGCATACCACTGAAGGAATGAAAGATCTTTTTAGGACCGTTTAAGGTTTTAATAGTTATGTGTTTTTGTGAAATGCATACTGGATTTCAAAGACTTGGTGTAAAAAAAGGGTGTAGAATATCTCAATAATTTTTTTTAATTTTTTAAAAATTATTTGTTTTATTGATTTATTTTTGGCTGCATTGGATCGTTGTTGCAGTGCGCAGGCTTCTCATTGCGGTGGCTTCTCTTGTAGACCACGGGCTCTAGGCACACGGGTTTCAGTAGTTGTGGCTGGAGGGCTCTAGAGCGTAGGATCGGTAGTTGTGGCGCACGGGCTTAGTTGCTCTGCGGCATGTGGGATCTTCCCGGACCAGGGCTTGAAGCCGTGTCCCCTGCATTGGCAGGCGGATTCTTAACCACTGCGCCACCAGGGAAGCACTATCTCAATAATTTTTATACTGATTACATGTTAATGTCTTTAGTTAAACAAAATATATTATTAAAATTAATTTCACTTGTTTCTTTTTACTTTTAAAAAATGTGGCTTCTGGAAATTTGGAAATTCCATGTGTGGCTTGCATTATGTTTCTTTTGGGCAGTGCTGCTCCAAGTCTCACTTTTACTCTCTGGTAGAAGGAAGTTATGACAATCTGATCGCATAGGGGCTGTGAGATGATGAGACAGAGACTCTAAAAATTCGTATCTAGACAATAGTAAAGCTCTGTTCGAATATTATCACTTTGTCCATCCTGGCACTGGCAGACCTCCCACCTGACTCCTCTCTTGTAACCTGGCTGTTGCGGGACACCTACTATTATGTGTTAAATTGTGTCTCCCCCAAATACATTGAAGTCCTAACCCCCAGTACCTTAGAATGTGACCTTATTTGGAAATAGGTCACTTTCTAAGGTATGTAAGTAATCGAGTGAAAATGAAATCATTAGGGTGGGACCTAATCCAATATAACTGGTGTCTTTATAAAAAGTGGAAATTTGGGCACAGAGAGAGACTCACACAGAGGGAGCTGGTGTGAAGGGACACGGGAGAACTCCGTGTGAGTTTGGAGGATTGGAGTGATGCAGCTACAAGCCAGGGAACGCCTGGGGCTACCAGAAGCTAGAAGAGAGGCATGGAATGGTCCTTCCCTAGCACCTTGCAGGAAGATGGCCTGCTGACTTCTTGGTTTCAGACTCCTGGCCTCCGGAATTGAGAGGCAATAAATGTCTGTTTAAAGACACCCAGTGTGTGGTACTTTGTTATGGCAGCCCTAGGAAGCCAGTCCATCCACTGTCCTCAGCAGTATCTCAAGACTTCAAGAAAGGAATTTAAAAAAACCCTCTTCACAGCCCAAAGTCTGGAGATTTCCTACATTAGCCTGTTCCTGGCCCTCCTCTCAATGTCTGCTGCCTGTAAATAGCACACTTGGCAATTTTTCAGTGGAATTGAATTGGTTGGACTTGTACGTTAGCTCCTGTTCCGCTGAGAGATCAGGATCCTGAAGGAACAAAACACGGGGCAGATGCATTTTGATAGACGGGTTGGGAACAGGAGAAATCTGGGTCAAGGTTGCGGGAAGGGCTGAAGGGGGACCTGGCTGGAGATGGGGAAGGGAAGAAAAAGGGCTGTTGCCAAAGACTTCAAGCGTTTGACTCTGGCCCCAGCCCTCAATGCCACGTTTGGAAAGCCAGTGCTGGGAATTAGAAAGACTGCTCTGACCCAGGGGTAAGAGAGCTGTGCGCTGCTCCTAGGACAGCCACCAGCTCTGTGTCTGTGGACTGTTCACCTAGTCTCAAGGACTAGTTCCACCTTTACGGTTCTGGGAAGATCTAGCTCTCTGATTCCAGTTGGAGAAACAGAAAATTCTAGGATGAGTTCACTTGCAAAAATAGTCAGCATTCGTTGCCTGCCTCATTCCGGCTCACTTCCAGCACTTATTTCTGTCCTTCCTCTTCATTTCCTCCTGTAGCCTCACCTGCGTACTGTGTATCCAGTTACTTCTTCTGTGACATTGTTTCTTTTTAACCAGGGGAGTGCCAGAAATCTCACCTCAAAAGGGATTTCTTTTTCTCATAAAAAATCTCTGGGGCTTCCCTGGTGGCGCAGTGGTTGAGAGTCTGCCTGCCAACGCGGGGGACGCGGG